AGAAGGTAATCGATCACTCAAAGATGTCCAGAAGCTCCTCATCAACAGCTTTGAAGATAGGGACTTTTTAACACAAGAAACCTGTCACCTCCTATTACAACTCCCCTTGTACAAAGCATCAATGAGTTTCATCAACCTCAGTCTTGATGGCTCTAGAGAAGTTCAAAACAATACACACGAGGGAGAGAGGGCGACAGCTCATTCTGTGTTGAATCACTATACATCACATCCAACCACTTCACAGTTCAACTCAATCACTCTATTGGATTTCATTTGTCAGTACACAGTACCGAAGGAGTTAAGTAATGAACCAAAGATGAGGAGTAAAGAAGTGATAGTCACTCCCAAATCATATTGTTCGCCAGGTCCCAACTATGAACAGTACTACTGTCAGTCTCTGATGCAGCACAAACCATTCAGAGACATTAATGAGTTAAAGACTGGCTTCAACTCCTTCACTGAGGCTTTTGCTGATTTCCTTCCGTCTGGAAATGTTCCTAGGAGTATATACTCAGGCTACAGCAGCACTTCAGTCAAACAGAGACCACTAAGGAGATGAAGAGGTATGTTTTATTGTTTCTAAATTTCGTGTGTATTTTCATCTACATTACCATTGTTATTTTATTAATGTTAATTTCTTATTGTTGAATAACTATTATTTATTTATAGAGTTCACAAGATGATAAACAACAGAAACAACATCAGAGAGCACAAGAGGAGTAGATGCTGATCTATGAATGTGTCAGTCAACTCCAACCTGATGTATATTTATCACAGGATTATGACTGGTTAGCAGAGGCACAATTATATCTCAACATTGAAGAAGCAGCCAGTTTCATTGCACAGGAGAAACAGAGAACCACACCAACTCCATTCACCACCACTGCTACACCAGACCATCTTCAAGGAAGGCAGCGTGATGTGTATGACACAATAAAGGTTCACTTTGAACAAGGTGATGATGATCCACTACACATCATTGTCAATGGTACAGCTGGTACTAGTAAATCATATCTCGTCAACTGTTTGAGGCTATTGCTTGGTACCAGTCTTAAAGTAGCAGCACCAACCGGAGTGGCAGCTTTTATTATTGAAGGAAGGACACTACACAGTCTCCTACACATACCAGAGAGGGGTGACTTCAAGGATATGGAAGGCATCAACCTACAGAACATCCAGGAAGAGCTGTCAAACATCAAATATCTCATTGATAAGTTGTCGATGGTTTCTAGGAAGACATTTGGGATGATTGACAGGAGGTTGAGACAAGCTTTTCCTCACAAGTCACAGGTACTGTTTGGTTGGTGCTCTGTCTTACTCTTTGGAGACTTTGGCTAACTACAGCCAGTGTTTGGACTTCCTCTCTATACCACACAGACAAGTTCAGATCTTGCAGACCAGGGGTACAGAGCTTATAGTCAATTCACTAAAGCTTTCACTCTGACTCAAGTGATGAGGCAGTCTGGACAGGATCCTGAACAAATCAGATTCCGTGAAATTCTTCTTTGCCTTACAAATGCTTAAACAACAAAATTGGGAACATCTCATGGAACAGACACCAACCAGAATAACAAATCAGTCTCCCTTTGTTAATGCTCTTAGACTATTCCCAATGGTTGAAGATGTTTCTGACTACAATGCTAATAGATTATTGGAATGTGGCCATCCTATTGCTGAGATTAAGGCAGTACACACTGGAGCCAATGCAAGCAGTGCATCTCCTGATGATGCTGGTGGTTTGGATCTAGAACAATTGAAGCTATCTGTTACCTGAGAGACAAACTACCTGCCCTACCATTGGTTGTGATGGTACAGTTTGATCACTATTCAGGACCAGATATGTACAATGGAACAGTACCAATCACGCTATTATGGCGAAGTTGGTCTTCTTCAGGTGGTCAATGTTCACGCCATCAACTACCACTCTAGCAGTGACAATACACAAATTTCAAAGACTCACTCTGGTCTAAGTGGTCATTGACGTAGGGAATGAGTTCTCTTGTGGATTGTCATTCGTCACCTGCTTAAGAGTAAGAAAGTTGAGTGACATTCTATTTGTACCACCATTCCCTCTCGAACGACTAACTAGCATTGCTAGAAGTTGTCGTTTTCATGAGAGGAAGGAGGAGGATCAACGACTACTGTCTCTTCAAGAAGGACCACCTCTTGAAGGTAATGGAGGAAGAGTCAATGGATGTCCATGTAGAAGTCAGGACACTATCTCCACAGGCTGTTCATGAGAATGAACATATGGAGATTAATCTTCGATGGAGTGGATGACACAGTCTTCACTATCACCATAGGAGGGAGAAGAAAAGTGGACAATGAAATTAAGTTTCCTTTGAAATAAGATAAGTACTTCATCACAGATCCACATATTTAATCTTTGATAATATTCGTTTAACACCTTTACTTGGTTGCCTTCTTAATATACATGTACATACAGTCTATCCTCTTTCTTAATCTACTTGTCCTCTCTCTCATACTTGTAACATGCACCCGCCACTCTTCTTTAATGTTCCACCCTCTTCCAATTAATCTAATGTACATGTAACATGCATCCTCTCCTCTTTCTAAATCTAATGTACATATGTTATACATGTAATATGCATTTTCTCCTCTTTTCCTTCATTTTTTTGCTCTTTCCTTTCCTTTCTCCCCACTTTACTGAAAGTATATATTTAGTCTCTTAAGTAGAAGTAAATACAAGCCAAAACCAACATTGATTAAATATAAGAAACATTTACTTGCAGATTACTCATTTTTCCTCCCACTAATATAGATTAGTTTCAACCCAAGACATAATTTTTAGTACTAGAGGTATATCAGAAGGAAGACCAAGATTGACACTTCAATGGAGAAAAGGATACATGTACACACATGTAGAAGGCCCTACCTTTTAAGTCTGTTCATGTGGCAATGCTGTCATTCTGTTTGTCATTTCACGCTGTGGGTGGTGGCTATACAGCTAGTACTGACAGTTTGCTTAGTTAAGTGAAGAAAGGATGAAAAAGAAGGTTCTATGTAGGTGGGTGGTGGTCTGGGGTGCCAGCAAAGCAGTGGCACTTTTTCGCAACAGTGCTGGCCACTGTTCCCTCAAAATGGAGCACAATACCACTGCAAAACAATAACAGTAATTATACAGACTAGACAACATAACTTTGTAATTTTATTTTGTCAAATTTTTAATCATATTTATGTACTCAATTTATATGATCATTTGCATAAATCTACACAGCTGCTGGCTCAGGCTCGCCCCTTTAATGTTCTATATTCTTCTGCTATATCTACTTTGTATTTGAAACATGTTGGTACTAATCATTTCCAAGCCGTTAGGTTTATTAATATATCTGAAGCATTGATTGTTGATGGAAAGTGGGCATGGAGAATGGGAGGTTCATCTTCTTAAAAACATTAATTGTTTAGTGTCACTTCTATTTCACTGGTAGTACATTGTGAGTGATGTCTGAGTTTGTGAAAACCATTGCTGCATATCAACCAGTAATGCTCAGTATCAAGCGATCATACTGCATTCAGGAAGTGAGATTTATCAATGTATATAACAGTGAATATTGATTACTGTAATGGACAGGGAGAGGGTGTGAAAGATTTTTACTGTTATTTTGATTTTAGCATTAATTTCAAAATTGTGTGACTATCATTTTATGTAAGACAGAGGGTTAGGAAGGGATGAATCTTATCTGGATTTTGTTTGTGGCTTATTCTACATGTTTATAACAAACACGTGCTTATGGATCTTGGCACTGCTGAAAAAATTAATTTTGAAGGACAAGACAAATTTGAGAGTAACTATAAAAGTTGTTATTATACTTGTACATTTAGTATCATTCAAGCAGTGATTTAGTACATATATTAATGATCATCATACATGTTAATGGCTGCCGTCAATGCTGTGCACATTACTTATATGTTAATGCTTGTTAGCTGATGTCGCGCATTATGCTGCCATCAATGTTGTGCGCACTATTATGTTAAGGCTTGCCAGCTGATGTAGCACATTTGAATGATGGTGCTGTATGCATAATATATGCTTGCCAGCTGATGTTGCACATCTCTTGTTGATGATTGTTGTAACATGTGCATGTTCTCCTTAACAAAAAAATGTTTGCACATTGGAAGGTAAATATGTCATTGGATATTAAGCACGTCATGAAAGTATCTTAACTGAGGATAGCATTAGTAAGCATTATTTTGTCTAAAATACATGCATGCACATACATGTATGACCGAACAGAAACATTGTAATTCCTAACATTATCATTATGATTATATATGTCACATTCATGCTTTATACAGGTACTTGGCACAAGGACTACAATGTGGTGTTGAAGAGTGACGTCTGACTCGAAATGAGACTCAAAAGTACATCTGTGAAACATAAGGTGTATCATGCATATACATGTACATGTTTATCACAGAGTATTGTACATGTAGTAGATTGGTAGTGCATTTTTGTACTTGTAACGCTTGATGATTATCATGCAGGCAATATTATTCCTCTTATAGTTTGATTTATTGGATGTATAATGGGTTTACAAGGAATATAAAAGCTGATGAGATTACTAATAAAGTTTGTTCTTTATTTTTTGTACTATTGTTATTAGCCAGTGAGTTTACATTGCTTGCTTTTGATATGTTTCTATTATTGTGCTTTACAGGTAATTACAGCTAGAAATGATTTGCTGATTCAGCAATACTTTTCTTGATATTGGAATGTGCAATATAATTAGGGCAATTCTAGATTTAGATTGTTGTGACTAAATTAATTTCTTTCTTAAATGTACCTAATGTTGTGTTGTAGCTCCTAGATAAGTAGTTGCATTACGCAGTAGGAGGTGCCACTTTACATCTGCCTAGGTTTCATATTACTTTAGTCTTAGCAATGGAGTATTTATTAAGATGGAGAGTATTATGAGATGTTTTATGTATTTTGGTATGGGTTATGACCCTTGTGAAAATTGTAAGCAAGATCTGACGTGATTTCTTTTCAAGTTCATGTAAGAATCTTGGATTTTTCTTACCAGATCTTGGAATTTGGAACAAAGATATTGTGTGGTCACTTATGATTGTGATGCTAAGAATTAACTGTGATCAAACATGATCTTGCATTAATCTTTGGTGATGATTATGCAACGTTTTGCTACAAGATCATACAAGAATTATTGCCTTTTTCTTGTCTGATCTTCAAATTTGGAAGAAAGATATTGTTTGGTCTTTAATGACCATGATGCTAATAATAACCTTTGCTAATCTTAGTGAAAACTTAACATGATTATGAATGATTTTGCATTGTAATAATAATTATAATTATTAACATTGTAAAAGAAAATCAATAATTATGTCTAAGTGAAATAAATGTATTAGACTTATTAAACTGCCTAAGAATTCTAAATAAAGACCATTACTTAATGTTTGACGTCTTTATATTTATGATTAATTGTATGCTGAACTTGTGAGAAGTCATATCCAGGAAATTTAGAATCTTAGCAGCCTAAAAAAGTGCATATGTACCTAATTGACAATAATGTATAATAACTA